TGGGTATGGGTGTGGGGTGTAGGCGAAGAGGAGATCCAAACCCACACCCACACCCCAGATTTTATGAGCCATTAATGTTTCTTTCTTATAAGATACGTGACTCAATAATTAAAGTTCCATTTCAACTATCGACTGTGGTAAGAATTCAGAGCTTTACGAGAAGAATCATTTGAAGTTAATGATTAAATATGAGCAAATTGAAGACATCTAAAATGAAATGAATCATGAAATTGAATGACAGATGTTGACACAACCCACGTGATCTTGTTTTTTATTCAAAGATTCTCTTTATGGGTCATGCATTATCATTTTTAGGTGACTGTCGTACATCATCACGTTTTCCAAAGAGTTATTTTCTCTTTTCAGCTGACAGATTTAGACTCATCTACATCATTGAATGTGTATTCGACAAAAAATCATCAGTATAAGTTGTTTTACGTTGAGCAATATAGTACATTCGTAGTTTCTTTTTGTTGAAGTACTCAAAAAAGTACTACTAGAAACATTATAAAAAAATATATTCAAGATATTTAATGGTATTATCTGAAAAATCATCATCGATAATCTGCATAGTAAAAATTATCTCTTAGTAATTTCCAGTGAAGAAACACGTTACATATGAAATGAATAAATTTCAAAGTAATCATGTTGTCTTAATTTATTTGTTTGCCATATTTCCAAGAGAACATTATTCAATATTCGGAGGCGTTTCCGAAAATGAAAACAGATTTCTTCACGAAACTAATCATATCTGACAAGAGAATAATGATCATATTCTTATCGGACAGAATTAATGAAAAATATGACTGCGAGGACGGATTTGATAATGACATATCTGTTACATCCTGGTGAGCATCCAAATCAAATCTTATTTAAAGACGTTGTAGGAAGAATGAGTAGGGAGGAAAAAGAATATACAATAAAGTGGTGAAGGGGCATTTGAATAATTTCTTTGTATTTGACGAAGAGGTGACCGATCAATTCGTCGCGAGTCAATTCGTCGCGTTCAATTCGTCGCAATCAATTCGTCGCACA